TTCTCTCTCTATCTCTTTCTTTCTCACACGCGCTGCTTTTCTCCTTCCTTAATGGCTAAGAAGTTGTTTTGGGTCATAGATTATGATGTGAGCCACTTTAGAAATGGTTTGGTCTTTCCACCTTTTTGGCATAGAGATCCTTTTTTTCTAATGAAGAAATTTAAGAAAAGGAAACTCTTATTCACTCTCCCTCTAGACTTACGTGGCCTATGGTTTTTAGCTTTTGATGGGGTCCATTGTCTCTACAAATGTTGGGGGCTTCGTCATTGATGGCTATTTGGACATCCACTAGGAATAGGATTAGGAACATCTACATGTCCCTCCATTATGGGACATCACGTTGATATTTCCCATTAGAACCCATGCCACGCTGTGCAATGTGCTCTCTCCTCACTGGCCTGTCAACGTATCCAAGTTGGATCAAATTTTGATTAATTCTAATATAAATTTAATTTTAAAATTTTGATTCGAATCTAATAACCCGAGAATTTTTTATTTTTATGGTCTAAATTAAAATTTGATTTATTCTGAATAACTTAATTAACTAAAATTTTAAAATAATAATTTAATTGTTTTAATATTTATATAAAAATATAAAAATAATTTGAATTATCGATAAAAAAATTTCAATCCATTGACATGGTGGGCATCATTGCCATTTTATTTTTCTTTTCATAAGCGATAGCCACGTGTTTTTAAAATTCGTAATTGTTACTTAAACTCCAAACGTGCACTATGTTATTTTTTTAAGTAGCATACACCAATTTATCGAGAAATCAAATTTGGGATCTTGAGATAGTAACCCCTCACAAGGCCCTCTCATCTCACCCTGGCTAACGCACGAAATTGATTTCATTTCGGGTCTAATTCATGTTATTTTACGTCATTACATGTACAATACATTATCAAATACATGCAATGCAACAACTAAAACACACTCAAACCCAAATTAGTGTTATATTAATCAATACCACATTAATCAAGTCATACAACATTGCTGTGCTTACGCCACGGAATGGTAGGTCAGAGAGAGAGATGAAAAACTACCACAGGAATGTCACAAGCTCAAAAGACTAGAGAGCACAAAATAGTATAGTTCTCAAGATATTTCCCCAACAGATACCATAGTACATGATTGACCCTGCCGTTTCTAAAACTAGGGATACACAGCAAAACCTGCCTAAAACTTGAAATCTTTCTTCTTTGATTTCCCCTCCTTGTCCTGCATCTTCCGTTTCCTCTTCTTCTCGTTCTGCATAATTTCGTGTCATCAAAATAAAATTTTCAAAAAAATTAACAATATTTAACAATTACTGAAAAATAACACACACCTCAGCAACCATGTCACTGAAATCCTCACGCTGACTACGCAGCTTCTCTTCCTCCCTGGCTTCCTCATACCTGAGGAACANACAATGTGCTCTCTCCTCAATGGCCTGTCAACGTATCCAAGTTGGATCAAATTTTGATTAATTCTAATATAAATTTAATTTTAAAAATTTGATTCGAATCTAATAACCCGAGAATTTTTTATTTTTATGGTCTAAATTAAAATTTGATTTATTCTGAATAACTTATTTAACTAAAATTTTAAAATAATCATTTAATTGTTTTAATATTTATATAAAAATATAGAAATAATTTGAATTGAATCATAATCAAATAGAATATAAGCATATTCAAATCAGTACAATACATGATATCAAATTTAAATTTAAATTTAAATTCAAATTATCAATAAAAAAATTTCAATCCATTGACATGGTGGGCATCATTGCCATTTTATTTTTCTTTTCATAAGCGATAGCCACGTATTTTTAAAATTCGTAATTGTTACTTAAACTCCAAACGCGCACTATGTTATTTTTTTAAGTAGCGTACACCAATTTATCGAGAAATCAAATTTGGGATCTTGAGATAGTAACCCCTCACTAGGCCCTCTCATCTCACCCTGGCTAACGCACGAAATTGATTTCATTTCGGGTCTAATTCACGTTATTTTACGTCATTACATGTACAATACATTATCAAATACATGCAATGCAACAACTAAAAACACACTCAAACCCAAATTAGTGTTATATTAATCAATACCACATTAATCAAGTCATACAACATTGCTGTGCTTACGCCACGGAATGGTAGGTCAGAGAGAGAGATGAAAAACTACCACAGGAATGTCACAAGCTCAAAAGACTAGAGAGCACAAAATAGTATAGTTCTCAAGATATTTCCCCAACAGATACCATAGTACATGATTGACCCTGCCGTTTCTAAAACTAGGGATACACAGCAAAACCTGCCTAAAACTTGAAATCTTTCTTCTTTGATTTCCCCTCCTTGTCCTGCATCTTCCGTTTCCTCTTCTTCTCGTTCTGCATAATTTCGTGTCATCAAAATAAAATTTTCAAAAAAATTAACAATATTTAACAATTACTGAAAAATAACACACACCTCAGCAACCATGTCACTGAAATCCTCACGCTGACTACGCAGCTTCTCTTCCTCCCTGGCTTCCTCATACCTGAGGAACACAATAAGAGAATAAAACACCGGATACTCTTGGCACTACAACAGCCTCAGGCATACCTGAAGCAACTTTTAGAGGGCAAACAACCCCAGCAGATTATATAAACAAGAGGAGGTCCACTTACTTGGCAGGCAATACATTGTCCATAAGTTCCAACTCTTCTGGGGCTAATGTGACATCAACTCTATCCGTTTTCTGGCCTTTAAGCAGATCAACCTAAAAACAGAATGACAAAAAGCATGAGACACGTCATTAAGCTTGTCAACAACTAAGATCTTGCAACAGCATTGTCTACACTCAACGTTAATAAAAAGCAAATAACTGGCTATCTTATAGTTTGCTAACCATATGATGGATAACAAACAAAATGAATAGCAATCTGTTGGAACATGAATTCCAGGTCAATTTACGCAACAAGAACAGTTTAGGTGAACTTAGCATACTTCCTCCTTTGATCACCATAAAGTGAATATAAACAGAGCATGTATACAACAGCATATGAACCAGCTCCCTGCCAAAACTAAAGGCTTCCTATTATGGGCACTAGCATGTAACTCTCATTCCCCAGATGACGTTATCAGAAAATGCCGAGCAATGTCGCATTGGAATTGTTCAAATTGAACAATCAAATCGAACAATTATGACATATCTTGGGCAGCCCGGGCCAATGGTGCATAAGCAGTGCAGAAATAACACTGGAACACATTGTCTTATCAAGACTCTTAAATGAAGCGAATCAAAACCAAGCAGGATTGCAAGTCCTACATAGTACTTGTAAATGAGTAAACTACATGAGCTATCTGAGTTCATACTGCTGATAAGAGTCAGAATCGAAAGAATAAGGTTAACCAGCCAAAATTAGCTTCAGCCAAGGCAGTTTAAATTTGCTCAGTCACAAGCAGATGAATGTGAAGGATGAATCACAAGCAATTCTTTCAATAACAAGGTTTTTTTGACAAGCTGACCTCGGTTGAATCTGAATCACTATTAAAATGTTCCATTGCATATACCATGGCATAACATTTTCAAATAGGAGCACCATGGTACACATTCTTTGCCAATATAAGATTTAAAATAGATAAATTAAACATAAGCATCAAATACTGCTTTGATGCAAAGGAAGAAGTAATCAGATCTGTTTACCCTTTTGGCTCCTGTTTTGTCTTGTGTACCACTGCCAATCACATACCTGTAGGCAGGAAATTGTAAAAGGAACATTTCAAGACTAAAAAGTTGAATAAAGTGCCTCTAAATGTAAATTGTTATTTTTCAAAACAAGCAGATTGCATACGTATGAGATGTTCCAAGTAATGTGCCTGGAGCTATCTTTTCTTCTTTCTCGTCAAGCACCTTCACAAAACAAGAATTGAAAACTGTGAACTTCAGGATACGGGATGACGAATCATGGAGGAAAAGGGGGAAGTCTCATAGGATGTACTCACTTGGTAGAGAGGCTTCTCAGGCTCCTTCCTCTGCTGTTTGCGAAGGTCTATGACATCTGGAGTCTCGACACCAGTAGGGGTGCTGAACAAAGAAAAGCAGAATAACATATTTATAGAAATTAGAGGTTCAAAAAACTTCGCTTTCCCTCCATTAACTCAAACACATTGTAGTGCCAGACAAAACAATGGCAAACTCACAATCACCAAACCTTCAAAATCACCTACGACCTAAGAACAATTATAGAACTGGCAATAAGGGCAGCCACATACCTCGACAAAGAATCTACAGATTGAATGCCATCTTCCAATTCCTCATCCTCGATCTCTTCTTCTACTTCCTCTTCCTCCTCTTCTTCCTCTTCCTCCAAATCACCCCAATGCTTTGACTTATCAACAGGTTCCTCCTGAATTGTTTATCAGGCATATCATAAAATGAGTAGGTATAATTTCAAACATACATACATACGCATACATTAATATAACACATTTGGGCACAAAGTATCAATGTATTTAAAAAAGAGCCCAATGAAAAATGAAATCCAGCTCACAAATCTATGTCGGAAAGGGGAAATTTGGCTGAGTAAATGATAGTTGCTACTGAGTTTTAACCACCTTTTCAACGAGTCAATTTAACAGGAAAGCGAGTACTCCAAATGAATTACTGGTAACAGACTGTCTAAAACTGAAAGCACAAAATAATAATGAAATACCTCATAGTTGGGCTGTTCTTGTTGGTATTCGCCAAAAACATCTCCATACAAAGGGCGCCCATTCTAAATTAAAACAAACAATACGGATAAAATAGAAAGAAATCATTAGACACAGAAACAATGCGTCACAACATAAATGAGAGAATAAATGAACAGATAATAATAAGAACACATGGAAGAAGAATAGACCTACTTCGTCAACGGGTGGTTTGCCCCAACCACCAGGATGATAGCCAAAACTAGCTCCAGGTGGAATAGGAGCATTCAGCCCTGGAATTTTTAATTGGGGATAAGAAGGTGGAGGGCCATATCTCTGGCATTAAAAATAGTCAGTCGAGGCTCAAGACAACAAAACTGAAACCAATGTTACTGATCTTTCTTCCAACAAAATTCAAGAGCGAATACTCCAAAGTGAACTGGGATATTCAATATCAAGCACATAATCACCCAAAATCTAATTACTATCTAACCTGCATATTTATAAGCCAAGGAGGAGGAGTGCCTTCTGGCATCCCAAGGGCATCTTTTAATTCCTGTGATAGCATTCCAGGTTTCATCTCCCTTAGCTTTACCTATATAACATGCAAATGAAAGTAAAATAAAGCAGTTTACATTCTTTAAAAAAACCATCATTCCACTATTCCCAACAAATGTACAGTTAACAAGCTTGAAATGTCACAAGTGCCTTCATGCAAATGGGTGCTGCCACTTTTATGGTGACAAGCATGTTATCCCAGTATTGTTGATTAAAAATTACCAATTGCACTGTTATGCATGTCTCCAACAAAATAAGGTGAGTACTGTCAAAAAAAAGAAAAATAAGGAGGCTCACTATTTTCTAGCTTCAAAGTTTAAGAAACATATAATGCACAATGCTTGACAGAAAAATAAGACCACCTGTTAGCTCCATGAAATCAACATCAAGACATTGTCCAATATGGACTATAAATTGGGTAGAACATTGTATATTAACATAAAATACAAAAGTAGCACCTTGTATATTAACATAAAATAGCATGATATCAAATTTATAAGGCTAAAGAGGGCATGGCAACTTACATCCCACCACACCCCAACACCATCCTGTTCAAATTATACACCTCTCTCTCATACCCATTCAATGCAAATTTTTTCTTTTTCATTACAAGTCAAACAGAAATCCTAAACCTATGCAGTGTATACAAAATTCCCAAACCCATTCACATAGCCACCAGTCAATATTTAGCTTAACTTGCCATACTGGAGAAAAAGTGAAATACCAAAACGGACAAATATTAAATAGATAAATTAGTATGCTGAGGGACAACAAAAAGACAACTATGTACATTAATGTACCCATATTACACAAGGTTCATACCTCAAACTCCTTTCCCTCATGATACATATCACCATGTGCTGTCAGCTTTGGTTTTGTTTGGTATTTGAAAAAGGCATCATGGAGAACCTACAAATAAAAAACCAAAACACCATCAAAACAGTGCGAAAACAAGGGAAAGGACGAATCAATATGCAGGGCAACAATATCCCTCCAAATGCAACACAAACAAAAAAATGCGAAGTCCTAACAGAATTAGAATTTTGAAAAACCTGATAATCAATATCCATTTTTCCCATTTTTGGCTGCATCCTCTCACGTTGCTTCTGTTTAAGCTTCTTACTGTCCTCCTTTTCAATGTAAGCCTGCATACGAACACCACGAGACAGTCTAATAGGATCACAACTGGCAACAAAAGTGCACCTCTTTAGCAAAATTGAAAGATAGTAATGTGCGTGTGTCTGTGTGTGTGAGNTAAGAAGAAGAAGAATAGCAACATCATCAGAAACTAGAAGAAACATAGATATGATAGCAGATACGGAGCTGCAACGACATACCTTTTTCTTTTTATTAGAAATGCTTTTCTCCTTCTGCGTGGCATCCTGTTCTTCCTCATCTGAATCCGAGTTTACATTCTTCTTTAAGGCTGCATCAGGGGCAGTCTCATCTTTTTTATCATTATCCTGAACAAATTTGAATGGGAAAATAAGAGAGGATCGAAGCAAAACAGAAATGAACACGTTAAAAGCAAATTACACAGTAAAATGTAATTTCCAATAGCTGATTAAATCTCCTACCTCAGAACCAGCAGTTTCCTTAAAACAGAATTTCTCAAAGACTTTTCTGAATTCCTCATCAACGTCACCATAAAAATCTGCCTTTTCTGGGACATACTCTACGTCAACTGGCTCCAAATCCTGTCAATTTACAAGTAAAACTACAAAAGCTAAGGACTATGCACCAAACTAGCAATTTGCAGAAGCATCCACATAAGGATAAAAAATTCCCAATTCAAATCCGTGCAACTGACTGACAAATGAACCCTGATTGAAGATCAAAGTCCAATAGAGTCTAATTCGTTAGGAGAACCAAAAAATCACATTGATACCAACAGAAAATCTTGTTATGCATTCTGGAGCTATTCCAGATAATCAAGCAAACGAAAGGGCCAAGTTCATTGGCCTACACTGTAAAAGGGGGAGAACATATGACACTCCAATGAAATCATCCATACTGCATCTTCATTCCCAAAGAATTGAAAATTTAATAAATGTTATTCATATGATTAATTCATCTTCCAAAGAACAAAATAAATGTAATGAGTGTAGAAGTGATTTTGTCATATCACCCAAATTTCAAAAACACATTGGTCCATCAGAACAAAAATATTTGTGAAGTTATTAATCATTCCCTCTTGTAACAAAAATGTTAGCATAAAGATTTTTTCCCAACTAGAATTTAGAGAAGCATGAGCAAACAATGATTAATTCGAACACACATTTTTTTCCCAGTATTACATACCCAAACAAGCACTACTTTTAACAAAAAAAAAAAACATTCGTGGATCTTGCCTTCTGTGCAAATCTAGAATTCTACTTTCCAGAGTAACCATGACTCAGTCTGCATTTTTATGACTATCAACACAGCAAAATATTTTTCTTATTGGGTTTATGAAAAAAACTCCCGGAGTAATTGAACATAAATATCTAGTCATCACCCTATCTACAGCACAAAACACTGAACACCCACATCATCAAAACTTAACAAACTAATACAATCACAGCCAAAGTTGTATGTGTGTCTAGCCATGCATCGAGTGCATCTTACTAAAATAATTCACAAAATTAGAAAACGATCACTAAACCAACTTCAACAGCTAGTTAGTTAAAAAGCTTCATTGTCATTCCAGTACTTACAAGCAAACAAGCAATTAAATTCTTCCAAGCAAAGATACATATGCATACATCTATACGTGGGCATATTCAGTTCACCAAAACACAAGAGTTAAATTTTGCAGATCCAGAACAAAAAAAATGAAGCAAATAACATTTAATTTCGTTCCCACTTTCATAACCTAGATAATCAAGATCAGCCAAAATCTATCGAAACAAACCCTAGAGCGAACAAGGGAAGGAAAAAATAAAATCACCTTTTGAGGATCGGAGTTTTCCTTGGCACTATCATCGACGCCGTTACCATTCTCCGCGGCGGTATCGCTGTCGTCACCGGCAGTGGATTCAGAGGCTTTCTTGTTTTTCTTCTGCTTCCGCCGCCTCCGGCGACGCTCGCTCTCGCGGGATTTCTTGCTGGCGGCTGTCATGTTGATTTTCTCTGCGACGCCGTTTGCTACTTCGACTGTCATGTTGATTTTCTCCTCTTCGGTGTAGCGAGAGTGGAGAGAGGAGAGGGATTGGGTTTGGGATTAGGGTGGGGGGACGGGGGAGTCGGGGAGACGGAGTGAGAGAGAACAGGAATAAGATAAAGGGTAAATTGCACTATGGTCCCTGAGGTTTATCACTTATTACTCTTTCGTCTCTAAAGTTCTAATTGTATCAATTTCGTCTTCTATATTAACACATTAACTCACTTTGATCCTTATCCCTAACTGTCATCCAAATAATTAGGGCTATTAAAATTTGACACGACACAATTAACCGACACGAATTAAACAGATTTGGGTGAGATCTTAACGAGTTTTGGTGATAAACGGGTTGACACGCCAAATACGTTTAATAAACGGGTCGTGTTTGGATGAGACCTGTCAAACCGTTTATCACACGTTTACCCGTTTAAATAAAATTAATATAATAATAAATTAATAATTATATAAAAAAAATTAGCAAGAAAAAAGAAGTAAATAAATCAATAAAAAAAAAAAAGAAGTAAAGTAATAGTTTAAAGACAAAAGAGAAGAGTTGGAGAGCACTCTAAAGGCAAAGGCAAAGGCAAATAAATGTCTTTTATTTTTGTCTCACATTGAAAAATGAGAGGAGATGGGGAGGGTTGAGTTATCTATAAAAAACAATGACCTTTTGCTTTTGTTTTTAAAGCCTTCAAGTCTTATTTTTCAAAGACAAATAAGAGGAGTTATATAACACTTCAAATACNATAAAAAAAAATTAACAAGAAAAAAGAAGTAAATAAATCAATAAAAAAAAAGAAGTAAAGTAATAGTTTAAAGACAAAGGAGAAGAGTTGGAGAGCACTTCAAAAGCAAAGGCAAATAAATGTTTTTTATTTTTGTCTCACATTGAAAAATGAGAGGAGATGGGGAGAGTTGAGTTATCTATAAAAAACAATGACCTTTTGTTTTTGTTTTTAAAACCTTCAAGTCTTATTTTTCAAAGACAAATAAGAGGAGTTATATAACACTTCAAATACAATGACAAACCAATGTCTTTTATTTTTGTCCCACATTGAAAAATGAGGGGAGATGGAGAGGGTGAGTTGCCAATAAAAGGCAATAGCCTCTTGCTTTTTTTTTTTTAAAGTTTTCAAGTCTTATTTTTATGAGATTTGATTTGAAATTCTTTTTTTTTTAGGTAAGTGCAATTAGTAGTAAAAAAAATGGAGTATTAAAATTTTTTGATATAATTTTTTTAAAATTAAATGGGTTAAACCAGTTGTATCGTGTTACCTGTTTATTAAACGGGTCGTGTTCATCTTGAGATTTTTTACTCGTTTATTAAACGTGTTGTATATGGGTTTATACGTTTTTTACTCGTCACCCATTTAACCTAACACGTAATCGTTTAATCCGATACGATTGACACTCCTACAAATAATAGACGGAAAATGTCATGTGTTTGGCATATGAGGGTATTAAGGGACATTTTTTGTCATTGTACTTCCAAAGACAAAGGGCACAAATGAAAAAACAATTTTTTAAGACAAAAACACCGACAACCCCTTCATTTTTCCCAACCTTGAACCCTGGTCGATAGTTCCCTAGTACTAACGACCAGATCCTCCCACCCCTAACAGCCATCTCCAAATGACCATCGTTACTTGGGGATCCTCCCAGCCCTAACACTAACCCCGATGCCCCTAATCCCTAACAGTCATCCCCAAAGTGACCATTATCACTTGTAGATCCTCTCACCCCTAACACTAACCCCAATGCCCCTAATCCCTAGCAGCCATCCCCAAGTTGTCACTTGGGGATCCTCCCACCCCTAACACTAACCCCAATGCCCCTAATCCCTAGCAGCCATCCCGATCTCTCTTTCTTTCTCTCTCTATCCTTCTTTTACTGCGAGCATCATCACCAGCCACCATAGTAGCTGGCGTAGCTCTGAAGACTTCCAAGTAAGACCTTTTCTTTGCTCTTTCATCTTCTCTTCCTGGTGGTCGATTCTTCTCCTCTTTCTTTTATAGTCAAAACCATAAACTAACCAAACGATTCTTCTTCTCTTTTTGATCTATCTCTCTTTCTTAATACACACACGCACTCACACAGGTGGTTGAANCTGGTGGTCGATTCTTCTCCTCTTTCTTTTATAGTCAAAACCCTAAACTGACCAAACGATTCTTCTTCTCTTTTTGATCTATCTCTCTTTCTTAATACACACACGCACTCACACAGGTGGTTGAAGAATTGCTCGAATTACATAGGCAATTCGAGTTCACTCAGCAAGCCAAAATCGATCATCCACTTATCAGAACAAAATGTCGTTGAATTGGTTCAACAACTCCAATAGCTCCAAATTATCGACTTCAATCTTCTCCACACCATCTCCGACAAAAAATACATCACTCCTATACAACTTGTGCTCTCTCTTTCTTATAGAACTCAGAAGCATCACCAACTGCAAGTTCTGAATCATATGGATGTGTGACTATGGGTTTGTGTTTCTGGGTGTATATTTGTGGTTTTATGTTGTGTTTGTGTTAGGATTTTAGAGAAACAGATGTGTTAGGTTTAGGGGGGTAAAGACGCAGCAACGAGAAAGACAGAGAGAAGGATGTACGTGTGTAAGGAAGAGAAAAAAGAAAAAAGAAAGAAAGAAGGTGGGTTTTTGAGTTTATGTTAATGTATACATACAAAGGATAATTGTGTNTTGTGTAAGGAAGAGAAAAAAGAAAGAAAGAAGGTGGGTTTTTGAGTTTATATTTAATGTATACATACAAAGGATAATTGTGTTTGGATGTATAAATAGCTATAAAAATANGTGTGTAAGGAAGAGAAAAAAGAAAAAAGAAAGAAAGAAGGTGGGTTTTTGAGTTTATGTTAATGTATACATACAAAGGATAATTGTGTTTGGATGTATAAATAGCTATAAAAATACTAAAAATGCCCCTTAATACCCTCATGTGCCAAGCACATGATATTTTATGTCTATTATTTGGACGACAATTAGGGGTAAGAACCAAAGTGAGTCAATATGTTAACATGGAGAACAAAATTGATGAAATTAAAACTTTAAGGATGAAAGTATAATAAGTGGTAAACCTTAGGGATCATTAGTGCAATTTATCCAAGATAAATTATAACTATACCCCTATAGAATGTTCTAAATATAGATAGATCTCTCTAATTTTTTGAAATATACCGACAACCCCAGTCAATTTTTGTCCTGAGACAACGGAAGTTGCAATTTTCCAGTTTCACCATCCTAATTTGCAATATTAATTGGTCAAATTACTAACAATATTGACGCATCTCCTTTGTTTATATAATATAATTAAGATGTTCAAGACATTTGAGAGCAAACTACTAATAAATAAATAAAGGCAGTAAGAAGATGAACAAATTCTTACATCTATGAAGGAAGGTTCAAGTTCAACTGATGATTCTGACTCTGATCCTCCGTTGGAGGTGAACTCAAAGCCTTCCAACTACACACCACCCTTGATGAAACTGAATGAAAATCGAATTGTTGACTTAGATTTAGATCCCTTTGAAATCATAAAGACTTCGATTTATGATGTAGTTACGCCTCAAACAATCAGACATATTACCATAGAATCTCGTAAAATAATTAATTCAGTACCAAGGGAATTTCTTCCTGTCCTTGAAGACCTTTTATAATACACTATCAAAGCTCGAAGAAAACGAAGGCCAATAAGGTATTCTAGAGACTATATGCCGTGTAGAAAATCAAACAAACATAGGCGGCTCCCTAGTATGCAGGGGCCTAGAAAGACATTCGTTCCAAGCCCCAAGACACCCAAGCAAAGGTTGTCTCTAAATTGAACTTTTAAAATAATACTTTGTTAATACCAAATTTTTAATTTGTACTTTGTTTATAGTGTTAGATTAGTTAACATTTGCTAATGCATTTCACTGTAAAATTTGTACTAGAAGAAAAAAATTTCATAAAATCATCACTTCTTTTAAAAAAATGATGACAAAAGTGGAATCCGAAACAAGTGTACAAACTATTGAGAGGAGTAAAGTGGTATTTTTAGAAACTAGAGGCGTAGGTGTTTCTGTATTTAAATCTAACTATAAGGGGCACCATTGTAGTTTGGGCCAGGAAAAATGACCCAAAAACAATAAGGTCGGGTCGGTTTTTTGGGCTTCAGATATTTTGTTGAGCTATGAAGGGAAAACTATCCTCCACCACACACCACAAAAATAGATTGTATATAAATGATTGCATGTTGTGTCGGTTTGTAAGTGATGTAAGTCGTGTCAAAATTAGTTCAATTTGGTAATACATAAAATTATTATGCAAGATTAATTCATTTGATAGTATGATGTAAAATAATTAATAATGATTAGGTAGATAAATCTGGGTGACTTAATCATTGAGGGCAGCAACGATAGTCAAAAAACTCTATTAATGAGAGAATATAAAATAATAGAGGAGAGAAAGAGAGCAAAAATATGTTTAAGGTGAAGTATGTGATATCCACTCCAATGCGTAGGGGGTTTACAATTTATAGGCACAGAACCCTAACTTTGGTAGTGACATGAAGGTCAAGTTACTAATTTATCGGAAGAATACTTACAATTGGGAATGAACACTATTTTAAAGTAATGACTATCTAGATGATTGTTCTCCCACATACGTTAACTCTTCCTAGAATCTTGAACTTTAGATTGTACTGAAGTCGTGAGTTACGTGTAACCTGTCTTTTAATGATTTTGGTTTAACCCATGAGCTCGGCCCAAATCTGATCTAAATCTAGCCTCGTCATAACTTATGTCCAATCTATTTATGAAGCATTTGAGACATGCTAACCGATTATAACTCAAACTTATTAAAACTAAACACATTCTTGGTGATTTTATATCTGACACATCTTTTTTTTTTTTTTTTGTGAATTGTTATAAAAATTATCTCATCATNGAAGGTCAAGTTACTAATTTATCGGAAGAATACTTACAATTGGGGATGAACACTATTTTAAAGT